GTTCTACATATGATTTTGGCATCTACACCCCGACTTTGCCAGTCTAGTCCTTATCCTGTTTTTTTCCCATTAAATTCAGGCAGTATAAATAATGAGTATAGCAGCATAATAAAACGATACAATATCAGTAATAATAATAAACAATAAACCTTTCCATATATATTTCCGACAAATATCCCGAAAAATCGCTAAATTTGTTTGGAAAAATGTCTACATAAAAAAACAAAGTTTTATTTCAAGAATTTTTCGTTACAAAGAAGTATGAAGAGTTTTCGTTTATAAGGCTGATAGTAAGTAGAAGTACAACGCATCTAAAAGATAGGCGTAGTATGTGAATGTCATTGCGCGTGGGCTTTCGGAACATAGGGATTTCGGAACATAGGGATTTCGGAACATAGAGCTTTCGGAACATAAGGATTTCGGAACATAGAGCTTTCGGAACATAAGGATTTCGGAACATAGAGCTTTCGGAACATAAGGATTTCAGAACATAGAGCTTTCGGAACATAAGGATTTCGGAACATAGAGCTTTCGGAACATAAGGATTTCAGAACATAGAGCTTTCGGAACATAAGGATTTCAGAACATAAGGATTTCAGAACATAGAGCTTTCGGAACATAGAGCTTTCGGAACATAAGGATTTCAGAACATAGAGCTTTCGGAACATAAGGATTTCAGAACATAGGGATTTCGGAACATAAGGATTTCGGAACATAGAGCTTTCGGAACATAGGGATTTCAGAACATAGAGCTTTCGGAACATAAGGATTTCGGAACATAGAGCTTTCGGAACATAAGGATTTCGGAACATAGAGCTTTCGGAACATAGGGATTTCAGAACATAGAGCTTTCGGAACATAAGGATTTCGGAACATAGAGCTTTCGGAACATAAGGATTTCGGAACATAGAGCTTTCGGAACATAGGGATTTCGGAACATAGAGCTTTCGGAACATAAGGATTTCGGAACATAGAGCTTTCGGAACATAAGGATTTCGGAACATAGAGCTTTCGGAACATAAGGATTTCAGAACATAGAGCTTTCGGAACATAAGGATTTCAGAACATAAGGATTTCAGAACATAGAGCTTTCGGAACATAGAGCTTTCGGAACATAAGGATTTCAGAACATAGAGCTTTCGGAACATAAGGATTTCAGAACATAGGGATTTCGGAACATAGGGATTTCGAAACATAGGGCGGTCACCGTCAAAGCATGGGTCCCTCCAGGGACTGTAGCTAATTCCTATTCATCTCGACAGTGGAGGTTAAGATTACAACCATTGTCTTGATTACCAGACTTTGGTTTATGAATATAAACACACACTCTAGAGTAGTTTTCTTTCGAGTCTATGAACACAGCCTCAAATTCTCATACATTTACAAGCTTCTTGAACATATACATGTACCATAAGAATCTCTTTTGTACGGTGGGCCACAAGTGACAGAATATGTTCAATTCATCACAGCAAAACTCTGTCACCTTGTGGCAAAACACTAATATTGCACATCAAAACTAATAATTTCACAAAGTTTTTCATTGGACAACTCGACCCAGTTCCCTTAGAAATCTCAACCCACCTATCTCCGATGACCCGCCACCTTGACCTGACCTGGTCGATCTTAATAGCCCAGGAAAGTTTCTAGGTTCTTTGTGTAATTAGGTGTTCGTATGCAAGGGATTTTTCCACACAAAAACGACGAATTAGGCCGAATTTTGTTATCGGTTGGCTTAATATAACCCCAATGGATCGTATTTTTGTGAAAGATTGGTAGTTTTGTCCTGATTTGTAGGAATCTGAAAAAACGCGTTTCACAACTTGTCTCTTATTTAGTTTTATGCGTCATTCAAGATGGCGGCCCCCATGTAGTAAATATCGTATTTATTTTATTATCACGTGTGCGCCAGCTGACTGTCATAGCATCATACTTCACCATTGCGCGTCAACTCAATTAGTTTATTATTATTACCGTTAATATTTTTTGTTGCGTTCGTTCGTCTCACTAAACAACGTCAGTTTTGCACTTTGGTAAGCAGAAATTCTACAATGTGGTGACGCCGAAGCTTGTTGTCACTAATATTGACATGTAACAAAAGGTGTGAATATCTGTAACAAACAATTTGTTATCTTTGAGGCATGCAGGCTTATATTCATAGCACCACGTCTGTGAGGCTCTGACATCATCAATATTATGGTCATGACCACCATCCCTTGGGCAGGCAACAAATCGTGATATTGCCCAAATGAACATGTGTTATTTATTTTATCACATCGAATAGACATCCACCATGCACATCAACTGTACATTTCTCACAGCCGCTCCCCCACAAAATAACAACACTTATATTTGTAGTACAACTATGCAATATTTTATTCTATATTTTATAACAAATGGCATATTATTCAATAGCATACATTCATTGTTTGCTGAAAAAAACCTGAAATAAACAGTAAATGCACGAATACTCTTTTTAGTATACATGTACATGTTTCAGCAGTGTGAATTACTTAATTTATAAAATTATTGGAATGAATTGAGCAATTCTCAAATGCAAGTTATTTCACCACTTGACAGATTAAAATGTCAGAGTGCTGTGGAAGTTACTGCAATGATTTTCCCACAAACATATTACACCGTCTATTCACAAGTCACTGAGCTTAGAGCATTCTCTGTGAGTATGGGCGTGGCATGGGTAGAATGTAGAATGTGTTGCAGTGATCCCGGTTGCGACGTTTCAGTGGCGGCTTTATCGTACATTTTTGCCTTATATGAAAATAATATCCATTCTGGCACGTTCGCTGTCCATTTTAGATCACTAAAGTTTCTACAAAACCTTAAAAGCAACCCCGAAAACAACAGCGGCTGGATAGCACCATTGTAGCAAATGACAATTTGTTATGCGCAGTATCGCTGCGCAGTAGTTCAAATCCATCGATTTGATTGGTCCAAACACAAAATTTGCATATGCAATTAATGGTATGGTACTGTATATTGGCTGATAATGCACGGTTACGCTAAATAAAGTGGTCCTTGAACATGAATTGACTACATGTTTAATACAGGAAAAATATTGGAAAAATTACCGAATTAAAAACATCTAAAAAATTATATAACCATAATATTGTTTTATGTTAATGACAGGATCCAAGTTGTGAGCGTCGGTCAGTCATTGATTGTCGTTCGCCACACAAACCCAAATGAACACACATGTCTTGTCTTCCATGTTTTTGACTTTGAAATGAAATGCGAACCTCCAACAAAAAATCATGATTTGTAAGTTTAACTGGTGACCAACTAGATGAGATTGAGGGATTGATGTAGGAAAACAAATGCAAAAAAACTACGAGGCACAATAAAAAATGTATGCCACCAATAACAACCATGTATCGTAGCAGCGTTTGAATTCTACCTGACAAAATTGCACCTGGGTTTGGCGACGACATACTGTATGGTATTGTAATTTTTCACTGGAGATCAATTAGGGGAAATGATAAAGGTAAATTCACTACGTTCAATTACCCACCATAGACTCCCGTCAGTCAAAATGACTATTTTGAACTATAGACATTAATCAGCGATTCTGCCAATGATGGAGAGATACATGTAGAATCTAGGTCAGGGGAAGCCCCTTGACCCCAAGATTCTTTTCCCTTACGTCACAACCACGTGACTGAGGCCATATGGCGGTGCTATTACGGCTGGGTATTCACTCTTCCTTTATCTCCGCATCGATGGGAATGAAGTTTAGCAGCTCTGCCTGGATCGCCTGCTTTTTCCTGTCTGGGTTTCTAGCTTGAGTTTTTGCCGACATTGTAGTTGGTAGGATAAGTTTTCCTTGTCATTTTTACCCTTGTGTCGTTTTCCCTTTTGTGTGTATCATTTTTTTTGGCGTTGTAACTTAATCGCTTGTTGATTTCGTTGCGTCACCTTTTCCAACTGTAATTCGCTTCCCTCATGCATGTTGTCTTCATTTCATGCTTGATCAATGTATTTAGAAATGTATAGATGTAATGACAGCACCAGATACTCGCTGCCACTGTGCAGGGTTATAATCAGAATTTACCAGCATAGAACCTGCATCCGTAATGCTTTTTGCCCTGGCTGTGTGCGGGGTTTGGGGTTTTTGCCTTGAAGGCGTGTGTTTTCACTGGAGTTCTGAGGCCTGAGATATTTTTTCAGAGCCATGCAAATCGCTGAGACTGACCACGTCACTCGTATTTTCACAGCAAGGTTGTGCGCCCAGTAAAAATCGATTAAAGTGAGTTGCGTGTTTGGCATGAGTGGAAAGGTCACAACTCAGTTATCATTGCTCAACTGGTTCATAACCAGTCTTGTGATTGGTTGTTGACAAATGCTGAACAGGCCAACGCCTCCAACTGTGCCGTGCGTCCGGGCAAACCGTTAATTATTCGTAAATTGAGTCAATTTGTGTAGTTTTCTTGATTTATTCTGCAGATACTGTATAGGTAAAATATAGGTAAGGCTTTGGCGAAATTTGAAAGAGCAACTAATATTCTTCAACCTGGTATTTTTTATAGATTTTATTTTTCATTCTGTTCGTCTGTTTTTTCCAGTTTAAAAAATGTGAGCTGGCTGGAGCCTTCATCCCTTGTCTATTTCTTACACTAGATACCAGCCGATACCCCCCCCCCAGCTCATAGGGAGTGCGTACAGTTGATCATAGTTCCTGAGCTCCCTGTGATTTAGCCCTACAAGACAGAGTATCAGTAACTTATGTGACATTTTGTCTTAATGGATGCCATAAACAGTAAAAAATTACACGGGTCATAGAAGTCAGAATTTGAGTTTAACATGAACATTCAAACTAAGAACACGTTGATGGTATCTATTGCATGTAAAGATACAAATGTAAGTTGTGTAATCTGACGAGCACTAACATACTCCTAACATATGCCTATATTAGGCATTTAACAAAATGTACCACTGACTTAGCAGTTTGATTAATATTGATCTTTTGTTTGTTTGTTTTTTTTTAGGATCATGGACAATGCAGATTGTGATAAAATTGATTTATCTTCTAGAGTAAATGAGGGTGAATTTGAAAATAGAATCCATGCGTCTATCTTGCTGGAAGGACTGATGGAACTGTATGAAAACCAACAGTTTTTAGATGTCACCTTGATTGTTGAGGATCAGTTGTTCTCATGTCATCGTAATATTTTGGCAGCGTGTAGTCCTTACTTCAAAGCAATGCTCACAAATGACTTACTGGAAAGTAGAAAGACAGAAATCACAATTAATGATGTTGATCCAAGAGCCATGAGGCCTATACTAAACTATGTCTACACAGCAAAGTTAAATATCACTAAGGATAATGTACAGAATTTACTGTCAGCTGCACATATGTTTCAAATGCATGCAGTGGTAGAGGCTTGTTGTCAGGTGATGGAGAGACATTTAGATGCACTTAATTGTATTGGCGTCTATCATTTTGCTGATATGTATTCTTGTGTGGATTTGAAAAATGCTGCCAATACCTTCCTCAATGACAATTTCATGAGTGTCTGCAAGGGGGAAGAATTTCTTCAGTTACCACCATCAGAGCTACTGGAGATAATATCTAGAGAGGATCTGAATGTTATAGCAGAGGAAGATATCTATGATGCAGCCATGATGTGGTTGAACTTTGAGATTGAAAGTAGAATCAGAGTCTTGCATCTGGTGTTAAACCATGTAAGATTAGCTCTCATTGAACCATCATTTTTTCACAATATCATTGCATGTAACCAATATGTTCTGTCAGATGAAAATTGCAAACAGTTGATGGAAAATGTCCGCAAGTTTCACCTGCTAACTGAGAAAGGGAGACATGAGTCTCTACTCAATACTCCTCCACGTTCCGGTATGTGGACTAATGACATGGTAGTGTGTGTTGGTTTGGATTGTAACACAAACAAAGGTAGGACTCATGTCCAGTATCATGATCCTACAACAAGCAGGTGGCATGCCATACAGTCATTACCTAAACCTATTGGTTTACCAGCATGCACAACAGCTGCTGCTGATAACACTATCTATGTAGCAGGGGGCATTCTGTACCCATGGGAAGATTCCACAGATCTGTGTTATTCATATGACCACAGAAAAAACAAGTGGTTGCAGAGACAGTCAATGCAAGTACCAAGATCATATTTCACACTAGAGACAGTTGATGGTCAGGTGTATGCTGTCGGTGGACTCAACACACTTCATGATGATCAGAAAAGTGTTGTTGATACGATAGAATGCAATGATATGAATTCAGATGAGTGGCACATTGTGACAACATTACCTGAGCCTGTATATGGCCATGCATCCGTAACACATGGGGGTAAAATCTACATTATTGGAGGAGTGAGAACAGGGACATTGATTTCCAAGAAACTAATGTGTTATGATCCAAAGGCTAACATTTGGAAAGAATTAGCTCCAATGAAAAACCCAAGGGCCTTGTGCAGTGCTGCTATCAAGGATGGTTGTCTTTTTGTTGTTGGCGGTTTAGATAGACTATCAAGATGGAACACAGTGGAGTCACCAGCAATGTGTCTTTCCAGCTATGAAATCTATAACTTTACAACCAATGAGTGGACGGAACATCAGCACATCAGTGGAGCCGGCCTATTTTTCCCAGTAATTGTCTCGGCCAATTCCAATTTGTATGCATTTCAAAATGGTCTTGGTGCTGATGGTAATGATGTTATGCTGTTATGGGATGAAGATTCCAGTTCCTGGATTTATCATGATGGACTTCTACCCATAGAAGATTGTCGATATGGTGTAACAGTGTCAAGGTTTCTTAAACGAGGAAAGGCATCTCCAACTTGATGATAATGTATAGTAACTAGATATTATCACACGTTAGCATCCACCGGTGGTGCTGAACACAGTCGTGATGTGAGACTATCACAATATCAACTGCTTGAAGTAAAAACGCAACGCAACATTTACTTTTATTGTTGCTGAGCAAATTGTTATTCAGATTTGTAGAAACACACTGAATATCATAACCAAATATTGCCATTCATGGTTAAATATCATAAAAGAGACCAGGATTTAGATGCATGGATTTGGATGGGATAGGTGGGTGGGGGTGTAATACACACATTGAAAGGACATTGGTTCCTGTTATCCATTCGTAGACAGTGCTATGTTTTATGGTCATGTGCCAAATTTATCTGTTGATGAAACAAGGAACTTTAAATATGCACACGTTCATTGAATTACTGGTACAAACTGGCCCCCTCCAGGTTGAACAAACTTTCAGCCAAACTGGTCAAAAAGTCACAATTTTGTCATGGAATTCCATATATGAATAATAATACATGTTTTTAAGCAGATCAATAAATTTAGCCTTTGGTAATTATTGCCAGGACTTTAATGTAGGTTCATAATTGAATCTGAAACTATTTTGTGTAATGTTAACATATTGATGTTATGGAACAAAAATTTAATAATCTGCAAATGACAGTATAAAATGACTGTTAGTAGTGTTGCAAAGTATTTTGCTAATAACACCTGTCGTTTTGGCATGATGTTCGTTCTGACTTTAATACTCAATTTGACTGTCCATGAGACAACATAATATTACAAACATGAGCAATCAAAGTACTTGTTATTGTCAGTCAATGACATTGTATGCGACTTGTAACAATACCACATATTTGTGGTTTTGTATGGAAAAAAGGTGAGAGGCACACATAACTACCTTGGTATTCTGTTTGCACAGCCTAGGTGTCAGCCTTAGTAGTCTGGTTGCACAAGTTACCCGGTCGCTGCATCAAATGTTATGCATGTGCATGAAAATTCATAATTGATATTTGACAATCATAGACAATTAATTAAACAAATGAATTTCAATCAATCACATAGCAGTATGGCAAGTACAGACAATTCAAATAGTTGTGATAGCAATGAAGAGTCTTCTGTATAACAATGTCATTTACAGTTTAGTTGCACAGTATATGTCACAAGCTGTGATAATAATATTAACAGTATGATTACTTTCATTGTTTATCACCTATTATTATAAGACCCAAGGTGTATTGTCCCATTTTGATTTAGCCATCACTTGTAGGAATCTTTATCAGGTCAATCTCTTAGAAAATACATTTACTACTTTGCCTCTAACATCTTGGATAATAGGATGTAGGGAAATGTCTGTCCTCATTGATGTTGTCTCCGGCGTAAACATTTTTGTGGTTACAATAACTCAGTGTTTTTACTAATCTGATTTAAACCTGGATATTTGATTTATTAGTTTGTGATCTCAGCAAAATTTGATATTCGTAAGTTCTTTGTATTTTTCAAGATGTTAGTGAAATTTCACTACAAATTGTCTTGTTTTTGTAATAACAATAACACTCTCGGGAAATCTTGTTAATCATTATAAAATGTTAACCAAGTTCAATTTTGGTGTGACTAGCATATATTCTTTTCAATTTAGATTTGGCCAAAATAAAACATTTGTTCGACATAATTGCACAGAATGAAAACATTTATATTGCTGTCTGATCAAGATAAGCAGATGTTTAGTAATATTCTCTCAAAGATCTGTCAGTTAGTGTTGCAAGATAATTACTACAAGATATGTTAATTTCATTATGCAGTATAATCGCATTTTCCTACTAGCATTTTTAACATCAAATTTTGCTCAGATATATTGCTGTTTTGTTTGGTAAATTTTATTAGCTCAGCTGTCGACTTAGTCGAGCAGAGCTTACCATATGAGTGATTGTCCGTCGTCCGGTGTCCGTCATCCATGTCAATGTTTTACATTTTCGACTTCTTCTTGAAAACTACAAGTCTGAATGCTTTGATACTTGGTGTATATGTACCTTGGGTAGACCTCTCTCAGATTTGTTCATTTCATGATCATATCTTCAATTCTCTAATTTTGGTGAATATTTTTGTCATTTTGGGTAAAAAGTGATATTTTCGACTTCTTGTTAAAAACCGCAAGTCCAATTGCTTTGATACAACATATATAGGTACTACATGTGGATCTCTCTGATTTGTTCATTTTGTAATGATATCTTCAATTCTCTAATTTTGGTGAATATTTTTGTCATTTTTGGTAAAAAGTGATATTTTCAACTTCTTGTTAAAAACTGCAAGTCCAATTGCTTTGATATTACATATATAGGTACTACATGTGGACCTCTCTCAGATTTGTTCATTTTGTAATGATATCTTTAATTCTCTAAATTTGGTGAATATTTTTGTCATTTTTGGTAAAAAGTGATACTTTCGACTTCTTGTTAAAAACCACAAGTCCAATTGCTTTGATATTACATATATAGGTACTACATGTGGACCACTCTCAAATTTGTTCATTTCATAATGATATCTTTAATTTTCTAATTTTGGTGAATATTTTTGTCATTTTTGGTAAAAAGTGATATTTTCGACTTCTTGTTAAAAACGACAAGTCCAATTGCTTTGATATTACATATATAGGTACTACATGTGGACCTCTCTCAGATTTGTTTATTTTGTAATGATATCTTTAATTCTCTAAATTTGGTGAATATTTTTGTCATTTTTGGTAAAAAGTGATACTTTCGACTTCTTGTTAAAAACTGTAAGTCCGATTGCTTTGATATTACATATATATAGGTACTACATGTGGACCTCTCTCTGATTTGTTCATTTTGTAATGATATCTTCAATTCTCTAATTTTGGTGAATATTTTTGGTAAAAAGTGATATTTTCGACTTCTTGTTAAAAACTGCAAGTCCAATTGCTTTGATACTATACATATTGTTCATTTTCTGATGATATCTACAGTTCTTTAATTGAAATGTGCATTGCTAACAGCGGAGCTATCTCAGCCAATAGGCTGCTTGTTATTTTTAAAAACATTATTTTTCAAGTAAAAACTCAACATCTAAGGACTGTATTTACAACTTAACTTTACTGTTTGCATAGAATCAAAACGTGGAGAGTGACTGGACAAGGCTTGCTAGCAGTGATTTTCAAAGTGTATTCTTAACATTTGTAAATTGCAAAAAAGCTAATCAAAACATATTTTTGAAAAAATTCATTTTATTTTTCCAGTTAAAAAAATGTGACTTCACTTTCGTGTTGTGTTGCCTACACTGACATTGGCCGGGAAAAAACATAAAAAACAACTATACTCTTTCCTTAGTCAAGATGTAGAGTGACTGGAGGAGGCAACTATGAACCCTACCAACAATAGAACATTGACTACAGCGAGACCATGACAAATTTGTCGGGCGCAGTTATCTAACATGGAAAATTTTACATTTTCTTTATAATGTGTCTAAGGGACGACGTCAAAAGATCGATGTCGGATAAAAAACTTATTTCCTTTAGTTTGGGGGTGGGGGGTTTTGACCTCAAAAAGTTTCCATCCTACAAAAATGATTTTATTTTTTAATGAAGTCAAAAAAATCTTGGAATATTTGTAGTTTGTAGTTTTTTTTCTATCCAATCATGGACAGAAATAACCGAAAAGGGAAAAAAACAGAAAAATGGTTTGGTTCGAGTGTAAATATGTGCGTCAAACGAGGTGCATTTGTAAAATCTTTTTACACCCACCCGACAACCAACTGCTATGCAATACTACTGTTCGATTATCAATTTGTATTTAATGGTTAATGTAGTCTGACGCCATGACCAATATTTATCAATTAAGTTTCAGTGGGGGGTAGGGGGGTTTGGAAAAAAACTAAAGGAATTAAGTTTTTTATCTGACATCGATCTTTTGACGTTGTCCCTAAGTTAGTAACATGAACGTAGTAAATGTAGCGAACGTTTGGGGATACCGTCACGGTTGCTATAGAAACCGTTCTAGTCTCTCAGGGTTCAACTCGTGGTTATCAAAGCAATTACTACGTTCACGTTACGTGATCTCGGCACGTGCCGAAACTTTTAATCCTTTGTGTTTGCAGAGGGATTACAGCAGTTGCGTTCACGTTATTCAGGACCCACTTAGGACCGACTCGGCTTGTGCCAAAATCACGCCCTCGTCAGTCGATCTGTTATTTGACCCAAACATGGAAAACGATGCGCATATGATGATAATAATAATTGCTATATTGGAATTATATCCATTTGTTGTTATGGTATTTATTACAAGTCATCGTGCACATGAACAGCAAAGAAGATTTGAAAAACATTTTTTTTTCACGTCAATGTAGCATTGCAAGAAAATAGCAGTTGCAGCAGCACCACATAAATATGCGCCGCTGACGACAGTTTGCATTCATTACTCCAGCATCCAACCATATACTCGTATATGTGCATTTCCTGTCATCGTCATTTCATACTACGGTAATATGAATCAGCATATGTTCTCTTAAATTTACCACCGAGGGCGTGATTTCAGCTCCTGCCAAGCGTTCAGGCAGCAAATCTCGGTACGTGCCAACTCGGTCCCGAGTCTCGGCACATGCCGAGATCTCTAACGTGAACGCAACTAGTATAGTATCCCATTGCGTTCTCAGGATACTTTGTCTGCTTACCGCCAAAATTCCCACCAAAATTCTGTCTCGTTTTCGTTTGTATGCGCCAATCATTAGCGTTGTTATATTTTCGGAACGTTTTTGGCATGGTATATTCTAGAGTACTAACACGTTTGGCGCTTCTCCGACTAGTTGTCACCAAGACAAATGCCGCTCCAATGTTAACAAATAAATTAACCAGGCAAAGCGCTGTTGTGAGAAGCCCGATTCAGGCCGTCGCTGTAATTCCTCCTATGGTAGCTTCGTAACCTGATGCTTGTTACACATACCTTCCTTTCTATGCTCTGTACGATGTCAACTCATGAAACTATTACACTGTAGCCTCGTTATAACAAACT